GTGGTTAAAGTTAACCTTTTCGACATGTTTCCGCAATGTTGTCTGGGGGTTTGGCAAAAGGAGGGTGGGACAGTGGGCGGTGCTCGGGGTGGTGACTGAAGGCGGTGACTGTGTAGTTCTGGTGTCAACTTTTTACGGAAGTCACAACGGTTCGTGAAAAATCACAGCTACTTTAAGCAGGCTGTGTGAATTTTACTGTGGACTGACTGTTCTGAAACTTATATGGTAGTTAAATAGCACCTAGACCTCAGTTATCATGAAAAAAGCCAGGAAATTTCAGTTTTGACAATATGGGACCTTTAAAAGATATTTTTGTATTCCCAAAAACATGTCTTAAGAATTCTCTTAAAGGGGTCATGACCTTTTTTTAAAAAATAATTTTATTGTAATATTACTAAAGTTTTTGGACAAAAAAACATTCAAAATTGAGTGATTTATGACCTTTTTCCACCCTGTTTCTCATCCTCTGATTGAAACGGTTGGTTTTGGGGTGTTTTCCCTTTAAGAGGTCAGTGTAACCGCCCACTTTTATGATTGGCTAACATCCATTACCGCCATTACCATTTTAAAAAGAGTTTTTACATGAAATACGTTACTTAAAGTTTGAAGTGGTCGTTGTTGGTTCCAGAACAGTTGGCACGGCCTGATCTTTGAGCAAAAGTATTTTGGCAAAGCCAGCATCATACTGCGATTTGTTCTCAAAACAGTCAACGGTGAAATGTACTGAACACATGCGAATATTATCGTATATTCAAATAGCCAGCTATCTGTGTAGAAGCTGGCTGCAAATTGAAACAGCTCGCTGGATGACAACAGTTTCAGACTCGGACAGCCCACAACAAACTGGCAGCAGGTTTTCTTTTCAGTGTTTCTGAGCTGAATGCAAAAAAAGCAAATGTTCTTAAAAAACATTGTAAATAACGTCTGAAAGATAAGATAATGTCCAATCAAAGGTCATATTTAATGAATTTATTAGGTAGTTTCAAATATTAAGCATTACAACATAACATTAGCAACATGTGATAACATATTACAATTACTAGGGATGACAAGTACTCTGAAGTGACAAAATGATTGATGTAAACAATGATCGGTCATGATTATGCTGAATTCTAAATCCAGTAACCGCTGAACAAAAACAAGTCAAATAGGGACCTCATTTTTAAACTTTAGAATTACAACCATTTTCAGTGACATTCAGCGTGACTCTGAGGGCTGAACTCTCAATAAGTCAGTTGCAAATAAATGGTGTGCACGCTTATTATGATTATTAATCTACAGTGCAATAAAATGCAATTGAGGTGTTTTTCATTGAGATGATCTGCAAGTCTCCTGTAAGAAACACCACACAATCAGACACCACAGCCATAAGAAAAAAAAAGACGTTCTTCCGAAAATATTTGCAAATTTCTTAAGACTTTTTCAGTGGCCTCAGGTCAAAACTGGGCTTTCATACTCATTTTGAACAGTTCTGCAGTCTATATGTAAGTAATAAGGTATGAGAGGCCGTGCTGCATTGTGAATAACCAAAGCGGAGTGCCTGCTACCCCTTTAGCCGTGACTTATTCACAATACAGCATGCCTCGAGTACCTTATTGCTTTTATAAAACGGTTACCACACAATACAAATATTAAAACCAGAACTTTATGCATTAATATGTTTGTTTTTTAAAATAAATTCATTAAATGCCATCCTTACACTAAAAACGAGTTCCTGACAGCATCAGTAAACGGCAACAGAATCTTCCGGTGTAATATGCCTCATCGTACAGAGCTAAAAAAGACCGTTCTCATTCGCCATATGTCATTTGAACACCAAATATGATATTTTCGCACACATATACATCTGCTTATCTCTCAGCATGAGAAAATATTTGTTTTCTGTCTTTAGTTTAAAACAGACCTATTCGCGGCACAGCGCGAGTTTGCAAGTGTCATTACAGTGTAGATTGTTGAGCATATGGACAAACAGAGAATCATAGCTAAAACAGAAAACGAATAAATCAATGCATCTCCCACATGAGATTGCGAAGAGTTTCTTTGACAGTGGGAAGAGCAACATAACGCCAACAGGGGTCACTCATACTGCATCAAATAGGTAATTTTACTGAAATACATAAACAATCAATAATAGAGCTTCAAAACTGTCCCATGAATTATGTTGCTAAGGGTGTTGTGCAGTGATACACAGAACCGTTGGATGAAGAGGTCATAGCCGTGCTTTATCATGAATAAAACACAGCTGCTGGCCAATCAGAATCGAGGACTGGAACTAACTATTTTATAAGAATTGGTATTCACCAGTTTTGAAGCTGACTTGTGTGTGGTACTTTAGTAACGTAGATGTCTGTTGCCAGTTTGAGAGCACTGATTATGTCCACAGTCGTGCTAAAGATCATAATAATGGGGTTGAGGTGTATCGGTTCAGCCACAACATCGCTTCTTGAGGTGCCAGAACCCTGGACTGTCTGGAAGCCATGCTGAACGTTTGATCTACCAAGGCGCCACACGATTCATTAGAGAATTTTATACCTCTAATGCATGTGTTTGTTTCTGACACATGTTGGAACACTCTGCCTAAGATAATTGTTGGTTTTGTTCCCGTTTTTTGTGAACACTCAATCCCCTTGTTAATTGTGGAATGAAAAGCTTAATCAGTTGGAAACCACGGAGCTGAGGAGATGTTCATATCCTGTGTGCTTTTCTGGGGATTGTGTTTTCATGTCAACCATTTCAAAATGAAGACAACCCTGCAGACATTCAGAAATGTTCTTGTTTGCTCCTTGACTTTAGTTACTCTCGAAGTCTGCTCTTGCGAAACCTCACACATACAGCAGATTTATTTGATTTGTGTCAACGTGTCAACAAATAACTTGAAGGAAGGCTTGTGGAAGTATTTGCACACATTTGCACAGAACAACAAAGAAAAAAAACACTGAATTACACATGGTTGCTGCTCTTTTGTTAGAACGAATAAATGGTTGCTCATATTAGAAATATTTCAGTTTGAAATATTTTGTTTCTGTGACTTCGCTACATTCAAGTTTTTTTTGTTTTATAGACTTAAGACATTTTTAAATTTCAATTTGTGCTTGACTACTTTTGGTCTTTTGAGTATATTTAAAGGGGTCATATGATGCAATTTCAAATTTTCCTTTCTCTTTGGAGTGTTACAAGCTGTTCGTGCGTAGATAAGATCCCTAAAGTTGCAAAGACTAAAGTCTCAAACCCAAAGAGATATGCTTTATAAAAGTTAAGATTTGTCCACACCCTCCTAAAACGGCTCGTTCTAACACGTCGCGATGTGGGAAGATTTGCATAACGCCGCCCAAATGTTCATGCAAAGAAAGAAGCCGTGATTTTATTCTCGCTGTAGTATTATTGCCGCCGCCACCATGTCGTGGAGACGTTGTGTGTTTCGTTGTGAAAGCGAAACTACTTTGTTTGGCCTTCCAAAAGAGGACGATATCCGCTTCGTCATGCCTGGAGCTGATCTGTGCTGGTCGCTGAGGAAATACATCAACTTCGCGCTGTGGTTCACCGGATCGGCTTTCACCGCGGATGAAGCGGAGTCCAGCTCGGGGTCGCCACATGTGGTTGTCGCAAGCCTGCCGGCTACGCCATTCTCAAGCCCGCCGTGTGTGACGCTGTTTCATTGTGAAAGCGAAACTACTTTGTTTGGCCTTCCAAAAGAGGACACAACTAGAAATCAGTGGTTAAGTTGTATTTACAACACTGTTCCAGAACAGTTCAACCCAAATATTCAGATGTGTGCAGCACATTTTATGGAGGACTGTTTCCTGAACTTGCAGAGTAGCCTACAATGCGTCTGTGGCACAAAGGCTGTTTCTGTAGCAGTATGGTGAGGGGCGTAACATTTCCGTCACACGCTTGAGGCATTCGGCCAATCACGACGCACTAGATCGCTGGCCAATAAGCGTACACCTCGCTTTTCAGAACGATGAGCTTTGTAAAAATCGACGCGTTTCAGAAAGGCGGGGCATAGAGGAGCAACAATAATGTACATTATGTTGAAAATAATGTATTTTTTTTAACCTTAAACCGCATAAACATTGCATTACACCAAATACACAAAATAATCATGACCCCTTTAAGATTTGATAATTTTCCATGTCACGTTAACTTGTTAAATACGTTTTATTCATTACTTGAATGATTTATCTCAGATAGCAGGAAAATATCTTCAATTTGGTTTGCGTAAAAAGTATGCTACATGTTTTTTCCATCCGTAACATGTTTTTCCCTTCTACATTTTGCAAGACTTATTGAGAAAGTGATTGATCCAAGCCTGGAAATTAATTCCAGCTCTCGGTTGAATGTCTTTCCACAGTGATGAATTGAGAAAAGAAGCTCGCCAGCTGAAGAAAGAATTACTTGCAATCAAACAGCGAAAAGAAGATGGTGTGAAGAAAGAAGAGGATGTCAGTGAGGGTGAGTGTCTGTGCCACAAAATCACCGCTGTTTGTCTTTTTATTGACAATTTGAAAAAGCCCTGTAAAATTTGTATACTTTGAAATGTCATGTTTTGTACTGTTTTAACAGTGAAAGCGTCATTTATTTCTCACACATGGTGAAATGAAAGTATTTTATCCATTCCCAAAATCAAGTCAACATGTACTGAGATCCTCCAAACAACTAAATTGTTCTTTTTTTTTGGAGTTTTGTTATTCTACATCAGGCCTTGTTTTTTATGTCAAAATGATCCGAAGCTGCTGTGTGTGTGTGTGTGTGTGTGTGTGTTTTGAAAGCCTGAATGTTGGCTGTGAGCGAGCGTGCGAGTAACATTAAAGGTTTGGCATTGCTAGCTGTTATTTAGTTGATTCTTTTAGACATGCCTAGTTAATTGCTTACCTTTTGTGAGAATTTTGAATAGCATTGAAACCTCTTCAGTCTTTATTTGGTAATCATTTACTCAACCCCATGTCATTCTAAACCTGTGAAATCTTGGATATAAAAAAAGGAGAAATTTTGCAGGATGTCCTACAATGGACCTATTTTCATTTGTTATTTCATATGTTGATTGGACTGCTATTCTTTTGGAATTGCACACTTTGCCAGAGTGTTTCCGATAGCTATTTGATCAGTAAAATGCATTAAATTAGACAAGTTTAAATATCCCCCAATGAAAACAGCAGTTACCAGGGTCTGTCAATCTCTAAAAATGGCAGAAGCCCAATAAAGTGGTCCATGTGACACTATATTTCTGCTTCTCTATTGAAGCCATACAATACCTTTGTCTGAGGAACAGACAAGATTTAAGTTGGTATCCACTAAAAGTGGATAAAGTTTGTATTTTATTTCTTATTTTAAAACCCCATTCTTTTTTCAAATCTGACAAAGAACATATCCGTGTCTTAATTTCTCCCTGGGAAAAAAAAAAAAAAAAGTATTCTATTTCGCTTAAAGAAAATTACTATAATGCATTAAAGGTGCAGTAGGAGATCTTGGAAAATGCTAACTTTAGCCTGATAGCACTGAAAGCGAACGTCCCACCCTCCCTGCAATCGCTGTCCAAAGCCACACCCCCTGGACGCATATATGCTCACAGACCAAAATACCAGAGACAAGATTACTACAATAGGCTACATCAGCAGTTCCCAATTCCAGCCCATGTTCCAAAGTGAAGTAAACTTCAATGGATTTCCCTCGCTCAGGGAGGAGAGAGCAATGAACACTGTGTAGGGATCATATTGATTGGAACACAGTTCATGCACGTAGCTCACTTCTAACGAGTTGGTTATCTGAATCGCGAGGACTGGATTAACCGCTGGGCTACATCATGTGTCATTCACCGGTGAGAAAACTTTAAAAGTACTACAATACCAGGAAGGAAGATCAGGTTGTTGATGTTTGTCTGCCATTCTTGCTCTGTCTGCACAGCGTGCGTGAATGCGCTGATGACGTATCCTGTCTGCGCAAACCGGGTGTGCAGAGGTATGCAGATGCATACGATTACAGGCAGGTAGGAAAGCCAATTAAAACGCTCGGACCGAGCGTTTTGATTGGACGAACATTTCTTGGTCCTACGCCTTCCACAGAATATATAAATACAGATTAATACATTTAGACCACTTAACTTAATGATTGCTATCGGGATGTGAAGAGACTTTCAACCAGCATAACATAAAAAATGTTTCTGAAGACAATCACCTATTGCACCTTTAAATAAAAAACATAAACATATATATTCTTTAATTTTGGTATTTATTATTTGATATTTGTAGTGTTTTTAATTTATAGTGATTTCAGATATTAAAAGATCATCAGAATACACAAAATTATTGCTATGGCAAAGTATAAACCGTTGCATTGTAGTAAAGAGAATCTTATTTTCATTATGCAAAATACATTTACATTTTTTTTCCTCCACTTCAACCTGAAGTGAAATGTGACCAGGACATGGTCACACAATTTTCAAGCAATTCACTCATTTACTGGTGTGATTGTAGCAAATTTAAAGGGACATTCAAACTCGTCTGAAGGAATGGTGTGGGTCTTCAACTTCAAGACAAGTCTGGGTCAAGTTATTTCAATAACGTTAAAGTCTAGTTTCTAATATTCTCCTGTTTGCAAAGTCAAATCTTTGTGGTCTGACAGCATTCCTTTCCAATATTTATCATAACCATAGAAATGTGCCTCCACCTCCCAAATGTCTGCAAGCTTGATATTTTGTGGCCAAATCAGACAAGAGCAAGAAGCTATTTGAAAGTTCTTGTCAATACCGAAGAAGACATTATCCTCACAGTCCTTTTGATATGTGCATCAGTGATGAAGAGAAAGTATAATCAGAAGAGTGAAGTGGCTTTCTCTTAGATGGTCCTTTCAGTCAAACGTCGATTGGTAAAGCAGGGCTCGACATTAAGCCTTGGCATGTGCAAGTGAATCAGTCATTCACTTGTTCAAGTAAAAAAATTACTTGTCCAGGGGGGAAAAGCGTCTTTTTTTTTTTTTGCATAAATATAATTTATTCTGAAGCAATAGTCTCATCAGTGCTCTATCAGGTCTTACTTTAATGAGCATATTTGTGATATTTGCCTTAAATTGATTTCTAGGACACTTTTTAACTTTATGAAGGGCAATATTTTCCTAACCTTATTACATGTACGTGTCATCATTTACGTCAAATTCTTAACTTTTATCAATGCATTCAGTTAGAATATTAAGACACTGCATGGTTGTTACCATTCAAATGAAATCAGTATCAACAAACTCCATCTTTCCACTGCAGAGGAAACACAGAAAGTGCATCAAAAGTGCCATTTAGATGTAGACTGTTAAATGAAGATAAGAGGTTCCATAAATGCATTTACACAGTTAAATTGCAAATACATAATGCTAAAAGATTAATGTTTTCCTTTTTTTAAAGTGGCCCTATTATGCATTTTCGAATATTACCTTTCATACAGTGTGTATTGTAGCTGTCTGTGAATGTAAACACACTGCAAAGTTGTGAAGCCGACAGTGCACGATAAATAAAGTTTTTGTCTTTCAAAAAAAAAAAAGAATCGACTCTGAACAGCCGTAGCGAGTCGTCAGGATTTCCAGTCTCACTTCCGTGATGGCTACACGACGTAGGGCAATACATTTGCATAATGCCCTCCTATGTTCTACATTGTCCGCCTGCGAATAACTTGTCCCGCCCTCAAACACTATAGCTTGCGCTGTACCCGGTAGACCAGTCACAAAGGAAAGGAGGGGTTTTGAGAGACGGAACTTAGAACTGCTTTGAACGAATCATTTACGAATCATTGAGAACTGAGGTGAAATTAAATATATATTATGAGAAAACTAAAGTGTTTTTTGATCTTAAAAATAATGACATAGCTGGTCTCATGGTGCCTTCGCGTGCGATCACAAACTTTATAAGTGCCGCTTGTGATTATGAGCTCGACAAATTCAAGCGGTCGACTTCACATTGCTTTCATATGCAATTGACAAGAAGCTCTTTTGGAAATAAAATATGGTGCGTGATGCTTCCTTTGTCTGGACGTTCGTGCACGAAGCATTGGTATCGATCCCTCTTTCAGAAGCAACCTTTTCACAACTCCAGCGCTGAACTGACCATCGTTTGTGAGGCCACCCAAAGTAAAATGATTACCACAAACATATAGGACTTTAGGTTTTTTTTCGGGACTTGAGATGTCGTCAATGTTGGGAGAAATCTGGAACCGCTCGTTTGGAGAGACTGTTTATGATTTATTGGGATTATAAAAAATTATTGGGTGGATTTTTACCATTATAGGCTGGTTGTTTTCACACACTGCGGCCACACAACTGTGTTCAAACACCTTTATAAAAGTGATTTTTGCATAATAGGTCACCTTTAGTTATGAAACCAACCCACCAGTAGGTGGCAGCAAGTCACTGTCTTAATGAGTGAGTCATTGATTCAACAGATTCGTTCAAACGGCTGATTCATTCAATAAATGAAGCAAGTGACTGTCTTTATGAATGGCTCACTGAATCATTGACTCGCCCGATTCATTCAAAAATGCAGAATTATTCAGTAGCAAAACAATGTTGTGTGTTGCTCAGAGATGCGCGACTGTTCTGCTGTGGCTTTGCTTAGAACGTTTTTCGTTTGCGAAATAGAGCAAAAACGGTCAATAATGTGTCCGTTAATATTAACTACTGTTTATTGAACTACTGTTGTATAAAATCAATGTCACATTTGCAATCGTGCTGATAGTCGGGAAAACATCACTCATGGTCGTCAGTACAATATATATTTTATAGAATATCTTTTTTTTCTACCGCAGTATGTTTGTTCATGCTGTTGCGCTTATTAGTTCTGATATCTCTGTGAGTCAGACTAAATTGACGCGACCTTGATTCTGTCAATACATCATCCGTTATCAGTCACCGTTTACACTGAAAGTAATAAAATCAGAATCATTCTCGCCAAAGTTTCGTGCTGCCCTAGTTATTGTTTACTAATGACGTTTGAATCAGATGAGTTGTCAGGTCGGGCAAGTAAAATTCTCTTTCATTTGCCCCTTCACAAAATCCACTTATCCCGGACAAGCGTTAATGTCGAGCCCTGGGTAAAGACTCTTAAGAACTTGCCGGAAGTGCAAACAGGACTTGAAGCCTTTTCTGTTTCTCAGATCCAGAGAGCACTCCAGGCTCTAGGTTTTTTGCTTTACTTCCTGTGAGGATTTCTGCATGCTTGAGATTTGCACAGACAAAGCTTTGACTTCTACAGAGCTTTCCAATGACCCTGTTGTATATCACTGTCTTCACATTGTGTGTTCTCAGAGGGCAAAGGTGTTTCCCCTCACCCTAGTCAATGTTTTCAGTGTTTTTTAACATATGGCCTGGAATGTCCTATTTACACTCAGCAGCCAGTGCATGTTTGAGGCCTACTTACCTGAGCAAGAAAGATGGCACTTATTAAAAAAGAATTACAAAGAGCCATTTTAGAGAGTTTT